CTGAGGTACGTTATGACAACCTTCGTTGTTCTGTTTGCTTTCTCCGCACATCTAGCTCACTTGTTATTCAGCTGATTGCCGTTGTGATCACGGTGTACACACAAAACAACATTTTCCAGGGTCTCGATCTCTTTGTACAAAATTTCAAGTATATCCGTGAGGTGCCAGGAGTGACAGTATACAAGTACTACCTCGCAGCCTTGACGCAAGTCAACGTCGGTATCTTTGGTATCTTTGTAACATTCTTGATCATCATGCAATCTGAAGAAGTCGTGGATCTGTTGTTGAATTTCACCGCCATGGAGTTTGTAGCCAGCCTCGATGACGCAGCGTTTGTGTTGGCTTGGAGAGGTTTCTTTGGAAGAGCCATGAAGGACACGGCAAGCGTTGTTGCTGAAGTGAAGTACACCCCAAAGGATAAGCACAAGTGGCTACGAAAGTGGCCACTTTTCGTTGTACTCTTGGTTTTGATGGGGTGTTATGCTCTGATCCGAATAATGCAGGACAATCGCATATTTGGAGACAATGAGGTTTATATCCAGCTGCACGACGATGCCATTCCATGGCTTTCAACGTTGTCTGGAATGTATTTTGGTTGCTATCTTTCCGATTATAGCGATGTGAGAGATAGAACCGATTCAAGTGTTGGGCGAATCATCTACACGAAGCTACCAACAGATCGGTGTGAAGACAACTGGAAAAATGAGCACGCGGCATTCTTCTACTGTGGCGAAAGCTGGGTGCTTGCAGTAGGAGATGACATGATGTACCCTTGTGATCGATGGACGCTGAGGTCTTTCAAAGCTAACTCAGCGAACATTGATGCTTACGACATCTTGACACATTCTACCGATCTCTGGTTCGCAAAGGACGAGAAGAACATCTCGAAGGATGGAGTTCTCGAGACGATGGAGTTTTTGGCCTCTTTTGTTCCCGTTGAGCATGTCGAGTTGAATTGCAAAGATCTAGGGTCTGAAGGGTTCGTCTTCACCTTTCCAATCTATGAGCGCTTGGATATTTTCATTGGAGATCGTCCCGTGTACTATGCAGATGCAGAGCTGCTGGAGAATGAAGTCAACGGGGAATACATTATTTTCAGTGGAAGACGGTGGCTGGCCATCAGGGAACGAGAGTTGCATCTCGATTGCATATCTGGGTGCAGTCGAACTTCCATTGACGCTCAATGTCGCACTGAGTGCCTCCGATCTTTTGATCTGTACGCTTCCAATTACACCGTGCATCTGATCAGTGACCCATTGGATCTCAGAACAACTACCGATACCTGGGTGCCGACCGATGATCTGCGCTGGTATGTCGCGGAAGGTCATGGGAGGGCTTCCAAGCCGCACATCGTCAAACAGAATCTATTTGCCCAAATCGACGGAATTCCAGCCGTGTTGGAAGCTGGTAGCGCCAAGAATGCTACTTACCAGCAACTGACTGAGATGGAAGAGCTCTTTGTGCCATCTGCAAATCTTCATTGTGAATGTGACGACAAGCATGAGGAAGATTGCTACGGTATTCTATACTGTCCAGACGGCGGAACCAAAGTGTGGATCGATCTGAAAACAGACTCTCATGCGCATGAAATCCACTTTTTGGTGACAGAATTGGATTTTTTCCATGATACTCTGGTGCAGGCATCACAGGTGCATCCATATTTTGAGTGGGGCGATTTGAAAAAGGAAGCGAACGGGTATGAGGTGTTGAATGACACTGGCCATTTCGATTGGCACCATGTCCAAAGCGGCTCCTTTGACCACTTGGAAGAATATAGATACGTTAGCTGTTTGCCGGTGAATGAATGTGGAGTGATATATTTTGAGGACACCTTTGGCGATGGTATTGCAAACCCTGGAAGCTTTGAGGTGTACGCGAATGGTAAAGCTTTGCACGGTGAAGGTGAAACTGAGTTGGTGTCGAAGAAGAATTGTGCATACCACTTTGGGGAGACTTGCGAGACGGAAGTCATTTGCTCTGATCGCCCCTTGGATATAGCAGATTTCTTCTCTTCTGGGTTTTGACATCTTGGTATCTACAACTGTACGAGTACATCCCACCCATGCTGGGCTGTCAAGCTTAAAGTGATTTTTGTGTGTGGCCGGGAGACTCAACTCGTTTCTCTACTCCTCTAATAGCTTGCATATCTTTTTTATAAATAATTGTTCTTGTACCAAGACGCTCTCTCTCCATATGGAAAGTTGGATATGATGGACGACAACGGCAACACAATCACACAATAGTGCGACCTTCATTCACCTTGTCGATCACGTTAACCTGAAGGCTCAGGTTGTCGATCTATATTGGTTGTCCCAAGTGTTTCATTTATTTCCCTCCTTCACCCACCCTACATTACCAGTCAGTGCTGGTGTGTAATTCCTGGTCCAGTGTTGGGTCTTCTCTCTTTTGGCGGGATCTCTGAGGCTTGCCTTGCGGGTCGCTTATGTGACCCGCGGTTCGACTTAAAAAAGAGTCTCGAAACTGTTAGTGCCTACCGAGTGAATGAAGTGCGTGAACCGGGTACTCTGTAATTGGCAGATGGCGAATGCATGATGTCTGATGTTCGATTCAAAGTTCGTCTAATGTACCGGTAGACGAAAGCTCGCACGCAATCCAAAAGACCAACCCACCAGAGTCACACCAAGTAAGAATCCCTCACGGAAGAAACCAGGCGGTAGGCGCCAGTTGGCTATCAGATAGCTCATCCTATCTGCAAGAATAGGCAGCATCACAGATACCATGTTGAACAACACAGTGACTGACACGACGTCCTCCGATGAGGGACGCGACGAAGAAAGCGCTATGTACAATGGCAAGCCTCAAGACGGGCAGGAACCGTTGCATATCCTTGTGACAGACTTGCAAGAGAAAATGTTTACTATGGAGACAAAGTTGAAACGATATGAAGACCAAGGAGTTCGAAAGCGACCATCAACTTCGAGGCCTTCCCTCAAAGAAGCCCCCATGTTTGCAAGTTCGATGTCAATGGGAATGGACTTGGACCCAATGGACGAGGAAGAAGACGACGAAGACGAGGTTAGGGCCTTTCCACACAGTACAGTCTCATTCCTCTTGCTCGCAAAATGGCCACTGTGTGGGCACAGTCCACCTGAGGATGCGCTAGAATGCAGTCAACAAGGACATGTCCTCAGAGCAAAGCATCGATCTCGTGACTATATGTGTCTTCCATTTTGGTTATCATCGGGAATTGTAGCATTGCAAGCTGGGATTTATACTCTTGCGTTATAGTAAGTTTCAGAACACTCCAAACGTTGGGATGTGTCTTTTGTATTCATGAATGATGTTTGAAACTTTACTCATCAATGACGCTTCATCTCTTTGAAAATCCAGTGATGCAATAGATATCACCAATCCCAAAAACCCACTCAAAATACCTGTCAATGTAGATCCCTTTACTCGCACTGCTGAGGTACGTTATGACAACCTTCGTTGTTCTGTTTGCTTTCTCCGCACATCTAGCTCACTTGTTATTCAGCTGATTGCCGTTGTGATCACGGTGTACACACAAAACAACATTTTCCAGGGTCTCGATCTCTTTGTACAAAATTTCAAGTATATCCGTGAGGTGCCAGGTGTGACAGTATACAAGTACTACCTCGCAGCCTTGACGCAAGTCAACGTCGGTATCTTTGGTATCTTTGTAACATTCTTGATCATTATGCAATCTGAAGAAGTCGTGGACCTGTTGCTGAATTTCACCGCCATGGAATTTGTAGCCAGCCTCGATGACGCAGCGTTTGTGTTGGCTTGGAGAGGTTTCTTTGGAAGGGCCATGAAGGACACGGCAAGCGTTGTTGCTGAAGTGAAGTACACCCCGAAGGATAAGCACAAGTGGCTGCGAAAGTGGCCACTCTTCGTTGTACTCTTGGTTTTGATGGGGTGTTATGCTCTGATCCGAATAATGCAGGACAATCGCATATTTGGAGACAATGAAATTTATATCCAGCTGCACGACGATGCCATTCCATGGCTTTCAACGTTGTCTGGAATGTATTTTGGTTGCTATCTTTCCGATTATAGCGATGTGAGAGATAGAACCGATTCAAGTGTTGGGCGAATCAT